AGGTGAAAATATTTCATTCACTGATGTTAAATTTGTTGTCAGTACTAGAGTTTGTTGCTTTTTTTCCGATGATAACACTCTAAATGATGATAAGCAAATTTTCTGTAGCTAGATGATTACACGAACGCATGCGATAAAGATGCTTTAGATATGTCCGAAAGTACGCTACTTACCGTTTTCTAGAGATACAAGCCATACAGATAGAGATCTAAGTAAAAGTATTTTAGATAGAAAATGATCATAGATCTCAAACAAGCTATTTTTATAAGAAACCCCTAAATGGGTATGACTATTCTAGCACTTTTAGAAAACATAAAAATTTTCCCTATTACATTCAGATAATAAGAAATCATACTCAAATTATTTTTCATCTTTTGAATTATTCTAAATATTTTTTTGGATATTCCCTGCCTTGAGACACTTTGCGGTATCATCTTTGAAAGGGTTAACCTGCAAGCAAATCAAAATGCCATGCAAGAAAACACTGTCTCATTATTTCCATTTATCAAGACGATTTACCTCACCGATTTAATAGTAAATTATCTGGTAATCATTTAGGTATTCAGCCAGCAAACCCCGCATTTCTTGAAACAGTCCGCAACCCGGACGTGCAGGACACCGAGATTGAAGCACCCCTGTCAGCATCCCAAATCCTTCGAACACGACGGACAGCTATTGTCGATTTGTCCGAGCCCATTAGCGATAAACGCGGCAATTTTGGGCAATGCAGGGGTATGGCTGGTTTATCAAATCAAGTCTTAATAAAAATATGTTGAAAAACCTGTGATCATGGTAGCCTGTTCATCCTGCATTGCCTTTGAAGACCACTTTGCAGGTGGATTTACTGTGTTCTCACTTATAAATCTGTTAGTCATAGCAGCTGCTGCTTCTGTGTGCCAGCTTATACTATAACCATAAATTGATCAAATCGGCAAATATTCGTGATATGCTATTCAGGTAAGACGAGAAATGCGCACTTATGTAATTATGGTGTCGGACCAGTTGTAGGGAAAATAGAGGCCAAAAGGTTGTAAAATTAAAATCAAATAGAAAAGCATGAAACCAGGAAATGGGCATCAAACCAAAATAGACAGCGCTACACCACATGAGTAATAGTGGAAGAAGCAAATAAGAGAAAGCAGACACTGTTTTACTTGGTTTCTTTCCCTTCTTGTCATTAGAAAACAGCCATGCTCGCACAAACAGAATGCAGAATTCTGTCACCTACAATGACAGTGCATCACTTGAAGATGATGACGAAATCTACGCAAATTGTCAGTCCCCACCAAGTATAGTGGTCTGTCGAGACGGCTCGAAATCCTCCGCATTCGTGTGATATCCACTTGCAAGAGATGAGGGACGGGTGGAAAAGGAAAGGAATGAGGGGACCTCCGAAGTGCCTAGTCGTGTACTTGTATTGATTGAATAGGAAATAAATTGAGCAACATGTCCTTTGTTGTTATTATTAGTAAATCCATTAGTAAAAATGCATCAAAAACATTTATACAGTTAGAAAATG